AGGCTAAGGGGGCCCCCATTGAGAGAGGAAGAGGGCGCCAGTGGTACAAGGGTGTGTATAGGGGAGGCTTGACATGTCAGTGGTACGATCACCATTGTCACCAGTTAGATGTGGAGGAAGAAACCTAGAATATTGCTCAGGTTCTGGCTTGCTCAGTGGGTGACATGTGGCTCTCCTAATCAGATGAGGGGATATTTTCCCTTAGTAGTTCTTTTGCTGGATAACTGGTATGAGTTTGACCCTGAGTGGTAACCTAAATCCCATTAACTCTGCATCAACAGTTTAATAAGAAGGGTCTTTTCCTCACACGCATGGCTAGAGATCTAACTCCCCAGACAAACAGGCAGAACTCAGAATGTGTGTATAATTAGCATCTTTTCATGTTCTGAAAGAGTTTTTGGTCAAGCAAATACCGAAAAAGATATAATGCTCTCCGACTCTGCCCTAAAATTTTCTAAAGGGCTTACAACAAATCAAGAAAAACTTCTCAGTTTTTAAAAAGTACTTTAAATCCTAAACCCCATAATTTCTGACTAATTTTTGTTCCAAATGTCAAGTTATATTGTCCTATGATTTCGAAATCAGAGGTATCAGCCCAGGGACGAGAAGGGCTCTAAACTAAGAAGTTACTAAGGGAGGTCTCTATTTTGCAAAAATAAGGTTACTCTGAAGGAAGGCTGGGATGGATATTTGCAGAGAGATTCTTGCGGGAGAGCAGAATCATCTCATAATTGGAAGGAAATTGGGTACTGGGAATTGGCTCTGACACACAGCATTTTCTGTCTTTCCTTTTCATAGTGGAGAGGGTCTAGGACATAAGGGAAATGCTTTTGTTACCTTATCACCTGCTAACGGACATACTGATGAAGACCCTTCATCTGAAGAAGATGGAAAGTATACTTCAGGCTGACTGTGAGAAACCAAAAGGGCTCTAGAAAACTTGCCCAGCCTGAGGCCCCCAACCATCTTCAAGAGAAAGGTCAAGGTCTGGTAAGAAGGAAATCACCAAATGAAAGCCAAAGAATGGAAGACAAGTGTTTGCTTAACAATGATGATAACTAATAATTAACATGATACAAAGTTTACATCTAGCTTATCTCTTAAAAAAAAAAAGACAAGGAAGTGTCCTTATTTATCATTTTTATAGGGAGCTAGAGTTAGGATTATTTTCAATAAAATACATTCTTATTTAAATGAAGGATAATGTATGGGCAATTATATTAGACTCTCTTGCCATTAATAATAGAACTATATTAACTACATGACAAGCCTGATGATGAATATCATAGACCAAGTCACCCACTATTCTTAATGTAGGATGACATTTTAAGGTATTGAATCCAAAAAGCTTCAATCTATAAATTATTCATAAAAAAAGAATCTTGTTTTATGCATAAAGAGTGAGTAGAACCTGAAAAATTACTTATTGGATAGATCATGGGAGGGGGTGAGAAACATCCATAAGCAAAGAGGCTTCTTTCATTTAGGAGTTAATCCGAGACTTGACTCCTCTAACTTTATCACTATGCAGACTTTGCCTAGATTATATTTTTTTGCGGGGGGGGGGGGCGGGAATGGAACATGCCAGGACGTCCTGGGTGCAAATGAAGGAAAATGGGTGTGCAAAGATATCCTATCAATTTAGGATCATGTTTTGCTTGTCTTACTACACGTTTGCAATGAAGTTTGAAAATGGTATTCTGAAAACTCTACAAAGAGGTATGTTTCAGTAAATTTCTGTGAAATTATAATGAAACACTCATGCAATAAGCCTTTAAAAATGACAGACTTTACGTGAAACAGTGTGGCTACACAAGAAGCAAACATAAAATAAAGAACTTAAGTTACAACTTTAAATGCTGTTCAGTGATTTTGCTGCTTAATATACAGTTGTCATTAAAAAGGAATTTGCCTATTGGCATGAGATCGGAGAAATGCTCAAATATGTTTATTTGATGAGCTTGTGTGATGTAGAGTGTGTCATTTGGAACTGAGAAACACAAGCTCCAAAACTTAAGAACATAAAGTGCGGGGGAAGGAGCAAAGAGAAGGTAGCCTTTGGATATTCACTCTATGCTAGACATGTATGGCTTCCTTACATGTATTCAAGTGTAATCCTCATTACACACCACAGCCTTGTAAAGTTGCTTGGATTCCCATATTAGTGATCAAGAAATAAGCTTGGAGGGGGAAATTGTTCAAACGGGCCAAGCTGCTGAGTGGTGGGGACAGTGCTGCCTATAAGCCCCTCCTCATTTCACTGCTGGATGCTACCTACACATTGAAATTGTGAATCCATTCCCATGGTTACACTTCATTTCCTTAGAAAGCTATGTTTAGGAAAAAAGTACATAGTCACTAAGTCAGGCAAATTGGGTTCTAGAGTAACTCTAAACCAAAGCCAGAGGAGCTCATATTCTTTCAAATAGAAGCTTGGTTTTGGATGGAACTTGTCTTGAGGCAATGAAAGGCTGAAAATGGCAGCCTTCATTGAGTCTGGAGTGGGGAGGGAAGGTGTGCAATGGGTAGAAAAAGGAGTTGTAGTCAGAAAGCCTGGGTACAAGTGTTACCTCTGCAACTTACCACATGTGTAGCTCCAGGAAACATTTTTAACTTCCCTGAACCTAGAATTTCCTATTTATCATAGCAACATCCCATGGGTTTAAGAGGATTATAAATGAAAAGGATGTTTTAAGCCCTGAAATCTTATAAAATATTACTTATGCATAATAGATTATTTCTCTGTATATAAGCAAACCCGTACATAAGCTATGAAAGATTTTTGTATCTATGAAGGTAATTCTCCGGCCCTTCTGGCATGTTGTGGGGTGGGAAGAGAGTCACTTCTTCCATCAAATTCTGTCCCAATAAATACGTTTGAAGGGGGGAAGGATTCTCTGTCTCCTTTTATGAATTACTGGTCTCCCTCTTCTGGTTTGCTTTTAAAAAGATCGGGTAGATCATGATGGGTTTCCTCCAGGTAACAAAATCCATTTTATCCCCCTGCCAAGTGATGTTCTGAAGCTCACTAAAGCTCAAACACAATAGCTCACCAGAGAGGTCCAACAATGACAGTCCCAGTTTGTCAACAGGAGCCCCCAGGGAGATACAGGATCGGGTCTGACTTCTCTGTCCCACGACAGCCTTAAAGGGAGGAATAATGCGGCTTTACTGTAGCAGCAGGACGGTCCTGTCTCACATAAACTGAAAGCATTTCTCTTCCCTTACCAGATCAATCTTTTGGAGTAATGGTTTCCATAAATTTCTTTTATTCTGTTTCAGAAAGGGCAAGCCCAAGATAGACTACAAAGTGATTCACATGAGGTCATCAAAATTTTCCACTCCCTCCAGCATCCTAAATCTCTAGATTTCCAAACTGCCTCACTGAACCCCCAATCCCTGACATCAGGTCCTTTGGTCATTCATCATCAGGGCTGAGAGCAGGGAAATCTAATGATGTCTTCCCCAGACATTAGGCTGCAAAGATGTTGTTGGCCTGGGTTTGACATTCCAGTCTACAGCATTGAAGTGAGTGGAGGATTGTGATAATCTAAATATTCAGATAATCTTCATTCTCTCTGTACCATGGTCCACCACATAGTCTTCTGCCTCAAATACCAATATATGTTAGGTATCTGATTCTAACCTACGTAACTGAGATAGCTGCTTGTAGTTTTCAGTTTGAGGGATGGACAAAGCCTCAGCTTCAACTTGAAGACACAGGGAAGTGTCTCAGTCTTCAATTTTTCAATATTCTGTGAACTCCTTGATTTGCTGAATGGCTGGTTGGCTGGACTGGACAAGTGAAATGATGTGGTGGCTTCAGGATAGTGTGTATTAGGAATTGTGTGTGTGTGTGTGTGCACGCGTGTGCGCATGTGTAAACCAAAGTTGACACAAATCACAAATATGAGGACTCTGAATTGTTTTGAAAAGTTCATAATATAAATAATAAGAACAAGTACAGTCAAAGGCCACTATCTGAATCTCTTCGACATCTAAGACTGTTTTGGAAATGATACCAGTAGAGCTGTTAGTAGGTACTAGGAATCATATATGTATATGGAGATGGACTTTGATGGCAAGCATTGGGTGCCCTCAAACTCCAACGGAGGCCCCTGTGTACCCCCACAGGATTCCTGAACTCTATCTCATATACTTCAGAAGCCCTAATCTTATCTAGAATAATGAGTAAATTGCTCGAAATATATAAAAAGTATCACCCATGCAAATATCTATTTGTTAAAATATGGCTTTTGTTTAGGCTAATTTCAGTAAGAAAAGTAATATCCTCATTTCTATGACTAAATCTTAGAATGTGGGAAATTTCTCATGCATAGGCCCTTCCCTGAGCAGTAAGATGGGCATTTCGTTTGATTTATTGATAGCATGAGGGGAAAGAATCCAACTTAGCCTTATCTTCTCTCAAAACTGAATCAATAAATCATGGGCCTGAATCAATAAATCATGAGCCTGATGGAAGATAAATTTACTGAAGCTACAGGAAAGCTGAGCATGGCCAGGTTCTAATGACTGCCTTTTTTGGGCCCTGTTGGCCGTCAGATTACTTGAACCCCAATAACATGTTTTCCTTTCACAACTGCTGGGGATCGTCACATTGACATTTCCATTAGTCTGAAGAAATCTCTTGCGGTCACTACAGAACATATCAACAACTAGGATCCAGGCAATCATGCCCTAAAATGTCCTCTCTGATATGTTATTGCGTATTGGCGGGGGGTGGGGTGGTGGGCAGTGTGCGAGAAGGGGAAGAAGACATCGTATTGCTTGCTTGTGGCCCCTTCAACACGGAAGACAGTGATGAGCAGAACCAACAGGCAGAAAGTGATGAAAGAACAGGCAGTGTGGCAAAAGCAACAGAGGAGATGATCATGGGGTCCATCAGGCACATTCCTAAATTAATACAACTGTCACAGTCAGCTGAAAGGTGCTGGTCTAACAGACTGAAACATTAGTCTGCTGAGCAACACTCCCACGCCTCCACAGAGTAGCATTTTTATTGCAGTATGTCTTTCATGGAAAATGAACAAAACTTTAAATAAATCACAATTACTTATTGCTTAGTATTTTGGATAATAAATTCTTTAGTTTATCAGTACCTCAGGGCCTTCAAATGTGCATTCTTCAAATAGTTTCAATTACATATACATTCTTTCTCCTGAACAATAAATTATTCTTTAAAAAAAAAGAAAAAAAGAAAAGATACATAATTTTAAAGCAAAGAAAAACAAAAAAAACCCATATATTTTTGACATTTATCTTAAACTTATATGAAAACAACTCTATGTTAGATGCTTAAATATAAATAATAAAAGACATTATGTTATTTACAATGTTACACAGTAAGTTGAGAGAGTAAAAAACTGACATTAACTCATAAAGACAGTAAATGATTTAGGAAAACATCCAAGTAACGTACAATGTGTATTTACAAAAGAATATATAATAGAATTCGTGATATGTGGCCATTTCCTTTTGCCTGCACTTCTCTGCAGTGTTTCACGGGTCTTTGCAGATAGAAATCTCTGTGGGTGGTGGAATGAAGCCAGTACTAAAAGATAAAACCAGGCCTTCCTTATTTTCACCAATGTGAGCCATGCACCTTTTAACTCAGGCCAAAAAAAGGAATAGTTATGAGCAAGTTACCCTGGATAAACTCCATCTATATCAAGACAGTCACACTTAAACAAGGAAGATACGGTCTGTTGGTGTTTGGGACACATTTCACATATACTCAGGCAGAGTGCCATTTTGTGGAAAGCATGAGGCTGTCCAGGCACTCTTGAAAAAAAAAACAAACAAAAAAAGGCATACCAGGCAAGAAGGGAGAGGAGGACAGAAAGGGAATCTTGAGTGAGAAAAAGAAGTTTCGCCTATACTGCACTACCCCTCGGTGGGATAGGATTTCAGACCCAGGAAACACAGTTGCCGTCAAACTCCTGGGCAATTTCCACTCCCCGGAAACCCCTCTGAAGCTTGCCACATGCTGGGAGCATGGGTTCACGCCCCTCCGTAGGATTGCCACTACACTGCCCGCGTTTAGAGACAGGGATGGTTGGGAGCCACGTGGGGACTAAACATCACAGAGAGGTCCATTTGAACACAAAGTGGGTGGCGGCGGCAGGTAGCCCTGAGGAGACAGCTGGCCTTTCTTACAGGGGCAAACTCTTGTTCTCCAGAAGGAAAGGCTGTCCCAGAGAATATGCCACCTCTCTGAGTGACCAGAATCAAGCTGGAAATAAAATTTCCTCTCGTCCTAAAGGTTCCTATATATTTGCGACCTGAAAATGTAAATAGCAATTTTCATACTGAGGAAAATGTTGGTTGCTCTCAGCAGATACCATTTATTCCAGAAATTCTCCACAATGGGGCATTTGAATACTCCAATGCCCAAAGATTTTTGCAGCAGAAATTTTAGACTTTTCATTAATGGTAGAAATTTCTTTATTGACATAGTCTCTGAACGACCCAAGGCCTTCACAAAGGCAATATTAATTTAATAATTTAAAGGACCTCTTTGGGTGGACTGCCCTCTTCCCCCTGCCATGAGCTTACTCATTTCTACAGAAGTGGGAAATCGGAATAACTTGGGCAGCCCGAAAGAAGCACAAAGTGGCGTGTGAGTAACGAAGGACAGTTCAGGATACCAAATACTAAGAGTAACTTCAAGGACCTGCAGACAGACACCTCTGTGGGTTGTAGAAACAGGAAAGTTGCTTAATGACATGACTCGCGTCCAGCCCGCATTTTCCCACGACCTCCTTGCACGTCCCTTCTTCCCGAGTATTTTAACATAGACATTTGATGAAGAACTAAACCCAGTTCACCTGCAAACAAGCAGCAGCTGCTCTCGTTGACTTCACGCCTGGTGTTTGGAACCCCCTGCCAACCTGTTTCCCATTTTGTCTCATGGATCCCAGGAGGTCACCGGGAATCTAAGTAAAGCTCTAGCCCGATCTGACAGATATCAGGCAGGGCATGAAATAGGGCCTGCATTTTTTTTTTTTAAATACCCCTATTTTCCTGAATTAGCGTTTATCCCACATATTAACAGCTATAGGCCTTCCTTGGACTTGCGATCACAGAGAACATGCGAAGTTTGGACCCATCGTCCGTCCTGTTTTGTGACAGTAAAGCAAAAGGTAAGAAAGGGGAGGACATGGATTGATACAGGCTGCAGATGGAGAGGCCAGGACAGAGGTGGGGGGTCACTTCTGCAGGGAAAGGTGCAATCTTCCCAACCCTGTCAACATTCCCTGATGAATCATCGCTCTGGGAAGGCTCTTGCTAATCACAAATCACATGCATGTTGGCCATTCCTGACAAAAATGTTCATGCATAGTTATGACCTGATCGAGGCAACATGGAAAAACAAGAGGAAAGTCATGAGGAGAAAGGCGTGGTCAACAGAACTGTTTTAAAACTGCAACCAAGTCACACGGCTCTTCTCCACCTGGGCCTTCTAGACACTCACTCCGTCTAGATACTCTACAACAGAACTACTTCGCTATGATGACTAGTCACCACCGCACACAGCAGGCATATTTCACTGCAGAAGGGTTTCAAATCGCTGAGTGTGCCGTTTAAGCTGGTCATTTTGTGCCGTAACACATCTGTTCTTGAGCTGATAAGACACAACCAATGGCTAGCTCCCCAATCAGTGAAAAACACAAGTCAGGAACGATTGCACCTTTTTCAGCCACGGTTTGATTTTCAACTAGATGACCTGCTGCGTCATTCCCCCAGAAAGTGAGGCGGAGTCCTCTTAGAAGGTGATGGATTTACCCCGATAGCAAGCCAGAACCCATTTACTATGCTAACCCCCCAACTGTTGCTCTTTGTCAAGAAAAATAAGCCCAAATAAAGCAAATGGTAGCTCTTTTTCGTGAGAGCAAGCTGTCTTCTGATTAAGAATATAGTTTTTTTTAAAAAAATCACAATATTACTTTCTTCCTAATATTTAACATTACTTAATGCAGTTTCCTGCTGTAATTAATAGTAGCATGCTGTTGGATCTACTATTATCTCAGAGCCCAGTGAAGCAAACCTTTGGCTGGCAGAGTAGACACAACTCATTTCATATACTGAAAGCAAAAGAAAACTTCGTACAAAAGAGAAGAGTATTTGGATGGATGTGCCATTACAAGACGTACTGATCGGGCGCTACTATAAATAGCAAACAGAGGGACAGTTGCAAGTCTTGCAAATCATACATCCTGTCAACATCATAATGCAATGCACGAGAAGCCAGCGAAAACTGAATATATGGGAGGTTTTGCTGAAATACTGTGGAAAAGCAATCACAGTAACTGTACAAAACTCGCTCTCAACATAACAGAACATAAAGGCACCATTGATATCTTTCTCGTTTTGAAATACTGTAAAAAATTGCTACATATGGCACATAACACATTTGTACATACATATATTTAATTTATAAAAGTTTTTTTTCCTGTTTTCTATTTGCAGAACTGCTAAAATAAAATAAATTGTTTAATTTAAGGTGGAATACTTTATTATATAAAATAAAGTTTTACAGGTGAATCTATGTGTTTATTTAGGTTTTATACAGCGATGGGGTCTTGGTTAGCGATTACACTAGACAGCCTGGCCTGCAATTCTTCCTGCGTCGAGAAGCGGCCTGCTGGGTTAGTCCTGCTGTCCGCCAGGCGGAAGGCAGGTGCTGCCTCAAGACTGGCTGCCAGGGGGTTCTGAATGCCCAGGAAGGGAGTATCTTCCCCTACCCTCTCATCTTCTGTTTCACTCTCTGAGTTAGTGCCCTCAGCGCTTGCGTTGCTGTCCATCTCCAACCTGTTAGCAATGTGGCCATTGAGCTTGGTTCTTTTGGCCCGCCGGCTACTGGTGAGTTTCTTAACAGGCTCTTGAGCTGGCTCGTATTCCTGGGTGGTTTCATACTCCTCATCCTCCACTATCCTCAAGGGGCTAGGGGGCAGGCTGTTGCTCCCATGTGCGGGGTTGTGGTGGTAGGTGTTGAACTGCTGAGGGTGGGGGTCATACTTCTCCCGAAGCCGTGGTGGTGTCACAAGAAGCAGAGGTCTCTCTTCTTCCACGAAGGGGCTGACTGCCATGATGGGCAGGGACACTGCCGTGCTGGACACAGGTGGAGACATTTCCGAAGGGGGCGATTTGGGGGAGCTTGGCGTGTGGAAATCTACAGGTGACATGCGAGCCGGGGTGGTCATTGCTGACACATACCTGTGTGAGCACAGAATACCCCCCCATGAGTGTGGTGGAAGAAGAGGCAGAGGCAGGGAGGGTAAGGGGACAGAAGTCACGATATTACAGAATCAGAAAACAAAGAATTTCTATGCGTTGTACACTTCTCGATTTTTAACACTAAGGACATTCGGCACCCTTGGAATCTGAAATTATGTAGCCAAGAGTTTCCTCACGGGAGTACATGCATAGATCAGCTAGGTGGCCTAACTCAACCAAGCTTTGGGGATTTTCCAATCTCATGGTGATTTTAAATAAAAGCATGTGAGTCAGGACAAGAGGGCACTAGGTCCCGGAAACCTTTCAGTTTACAAGGACCAAGGCGCAGGGATTTGCAAGGGAAAGAAGTATTACTTAAATACTATACCTTCCTAAAGGCCAAGGGGTCTTAGAGAATGAAGCCCAAATGGGGAATGGAAGAAGATCTAAGATGAGTTGCTGATAGCTGGATCTGCATGCATTTGGATCTGTGTGCCTTGTTTCTCCTTAGCTCAGCTATAAGGTTATGTCTTATGAAAAAAAAAGAGCATAGTAACTTAGATATATTCCTGATAACAGTGTAACACATTTGTGTGCTTTCAGTTTTTCCATGAAATGCTACTTCGTAACATTCGATTTGCAACTCTCCATCCCAGTGACCAAGACATTCAGAAAAAAGCCTGAGAAAACCTTATGTTGGCTCCCGAGGTATGTCCAAGCTCCGGTCTACCTCTCTTCGAAACCCATGGCTGCATCAATCTTTGGCTTATCTTTTGTGACTGCTCAAGGGTTGGCTGCACCATGTTACCTCATGTCATGTTATATCCAGTAGTGCTCAGTAAATCTCATTGTCAAGACATTGAGTGTATTTTTTTTTTTTAACGATATCATGCTTTCTCCCTCTAGAACAAGAAGGCCTGACTTAGCACTGAGGAAGATGTGGTTTATTCAGAGTCACATTTCTCAACTTTGATAAAAATGTTGCCAATGAATAGCACCAAAGCTCTCTTTTCTTCACGTTGGCGTTCACAGAGTCTAATTTGACATGACCTGTGATGACACAGGACACCATTATCTGAACTCTAGCTAACAAGAACAGGAAACCTATTAACTTTCCTGCTCTTCAGCCATGATTCAGAGTCATATGGATGTGAGGTCTAGCTGTGTCTAAAACGGGAAGGTGTTTAGAGATGGAAATACTTGGGGCTTGAGGCTTCAACTTTTGTCCTGGGGATACTTAAATTAAGCTCCCTGAGAAATGCTAATCCGCATTCAGCCAAAACATAAAGGTGATTCATCTCTTCTCTCCGTGTTCTCGAGGTTCAGGTATATTTCGAGGCCCTAGATAATATCTGCAGTGTGTGTGGAAGCCTACCACAGCAGGGAAATGTCAGCCTTTAGAGAGAAATATCACATGGAGTGATGAAGAAAGAATTTATCCCTAACCTCTTTCTCAGGTCTCAAAAAAGACTGGATTAAGATAGATAGAGTTTCTTAATACATAAAGATACAATTATATGAATTTAAGACTAAGGTTTTAAACCACTTTGGGACCATGCCTACATTTTCACAGATGAATGACAGAGCAACCTCTCATTCCATAAAGCTCTGAAATACCACTTTGGGGTAAAGACCCTTGAAGAAGTGATCAGCAAGCTCTATAGGACCTGCTGGCCCAGAACTAGTCATCCTTCGTTACAAGGACTTCCCAGCCAGTCCATGAGTGGAAAGAGTCTGTCAGCATTATCTCCACCCATGTAACTAGGTATGGATTTGACATTATGTAAACCTTTCGGCAAGTGGTCAAAGATGACGCTGAGATGGTGATACAGTAAACAAACAGACAACACCCCACTGGATTTGGAAAACAAACAAGTAGCAGCTTACTGATAATGCCACAAATGCTGGTTGGATATAACTCGCTCCCAACTTAAGTGAAAATGAATCAAGACAATCTATGAATTCAGTATTCCTATGAAGCATCTCTTACTTTACTCTGTTCTTGATTTTACCTTGTCTGTAACCCTCCTCCCCCCACCCCCAACCCAATCCAATATCCCCAGAAGAAAGCCAAAACATTCTGGAATAAAGCAATATCTGCTTTGAAAACCACCTGCGAAGACTGCGTCTGCAGCATACAAGAGATTTATTTATTCGTCCCTTCTTCGAATTTCGTAAAAGGGACACTACAGGGTGGAATGCAAGCAGTTGTGTCCCATGAGACTCAGCAGTGACACAGCCTTTGATTTGATTTAACTGAGGCTGGAAGGTAAGAAAGAGTTAGCACACGAGACCACGAGACCAGCTCGACCGGAGTTTGGGTAGCTCGGCAAATTCGAATTATTAGAAGGGTCTTTACGGACTGCTGGTGCCATCTCTCTAAAGTTACAACTGAGGAAACAGAGACCCAAGTGGGTGTGAGCCTAAGGTCAGAGCTGGGACCTCTGGGTTAGCTGCCCCTCCAACATCAAATCACTCCCGCTCCTTAAGAGTCTGTTGCCTGTCAGCCACTGGGGCCATGTGAGCAGCTCAGAAGAAACGAGTTCAGTCAAACAAAAAGATGACTTCATCAACTAGGGAACTGGAACAGGCAAGTGCCGCCCCTTAGGCTCATTAGAGTAGATTTCCTTAGGTGAGACCCCAGCTGCTCATGGGGATTCTCCTACTAGGGTGCTTTCTCCTCTGCAGGAGCTTTGCCCTTCGGTTTTACCTTTCACTATGAGGAGAGTCTCGGTAGGAGTCAGGGGTTTCTCTGGCATGCCTGAGGAAGCTGTTACATTCGCGAGGGCCTCCCAAGCCATTAAGTCGTCCTCTTGGGCCCCCAGCTGGGCTGCTGTGCCTACTGTTTTCTACTGATGACATCATGATTACAGAGTGACTTTCCGAAATGATGCTTTCAGTGTGCCCATTGCTCCAGCTGGAGGGGAAACGGGAGAGGTAAAGAGACATATACATATGCATTTTTTAATGATACGCAAAAATGGAAAGGAAAGGAAGTGATCTGGCAACTATTTCAACTTACTGGTGTATCAGCAGTTGACGACAACATTACTCCTCTCAGAATAGAATTATTATTACTTGCTATAGAGGGGCTCTTCATTTTGTTTGACTTTGTAAGGATACAGTTTATGCACCTGTTCACCCATTCAACACACATGTATCAAATGTCAGTATGTACTAAGTACTCTTACAATCTCTCTGTTCTCCAGTGGCTTATGTCAAGGAAACACTTGGCCTATGAGCTACATTTGGCAGTCCCATGTTGTCCCTGGTAGCGTGCACTCACACGGGGATCCCCGAGGCATGTGAGTTCAGCTATCAAACAAGTTCTCGTGTTCATTTCCAAGGGCAATCCGATCATTGGAAGGAGTCGACTTCTAAATGTTCTATAGCATCTAGGACAGACTTTTTCCACTGTAGCAATTCAGTGAGTAGTCAGGCATGAGTAAAGACAATCTCTAAAATGGGGAACAACAATCCTGGGAGTGGGTATTATTTTCACCTTCAGTAATGAAAAAATGGAGGCTCAAATTTAAACGGCCATTAAATGGCAGAGCCAGTTGATGTCCAAAGTCTGTTTTTGTCCCGAGTCATACATGTTGTTATATGTCCTTGCCTCATAAGCGTCTCCTGTTCCTTTCTTAGGCAGTGAAAGAAAAAGACAATGTCTAGAAATTCTCTCTTGGAGTAGTGCCCTGCAATTGTTTTTATTCTCATACCTGTGGCTAGGAGTCTGGGTGACAGTAGTGGAGTGGTGGGCTGTTGAGGTATAGTGACTGGTGGAAAAAGATGTCTCCGCTTCTCTCTCAACAATATGCTCACTAGAGATGACATTTTTAGATACGTATTGCTGGATAAACAAAGAGACACAACTTGAAGATTCATATTAATCAAAACAGTAACATCATCATCATCACACACAAATTCTATTCTCGTACATATACTTCATAACACATTCCATTTCTCCAACAGTCAGATGGCAAATCCTACCCTGGCTCTATGGCTTTTAAATTCAGTAAATGAAATTAATGAATTATCCTTTGGATGCGCATGCAGTGTGGGTTCTGCAGTCTTAACTGCATATTATCAGAAACAGACCTAGTTCTTCTATCTTACTTCCAACTGGTAACGTTAGTGGAATTCAAGACAAATCTCTGCCCATATTCATTTTTTGCCATAGTTGTTGTAGGTGAAGAAGATTAACAGACAGCTGAATGAAACAAAAGCATAGAGATGATTTGTCTTCTTTCAAATTTCAAGTCAGGAGACGGATTTTTTTTTTTTTTTTAACAATCTCTATATTTTGGATCTACTTTTCTTTTTCAGTTTCCAAGGGCCCATGTTGCCCTAACGATAGCAGTGAAATGTTCAATTTGTTGTCAGTGGTAAGACTAACAAGGCCACTGAGAGGTGTGAAGGACTTACAGAGGCCGTCAAGGTCACACATCTTGACAAAGTACACAATATACAGAGGGCCTATATATAGTGCAAGTAGATTCTACTTATTTTCATCACCAAATCACATGAGCTATTCCTGCCTTCAATCAGTGAAAGAGGCGCATTTCAAAGTTGTGTTTGAAATGCTGTTAGTTTTACTCCAAATTAAATTGAGTAATGGAAAAAGGCATGGAAAGGAATACTCTCAGATGAAATGGGCACTTTATATAAGCAATGGGCTGTGGGCCTTAAAAGAACCTGATGTATTTATGGAAACCCCCAAAATATACAACTTGAATTATGCTTGAAACTCTAGTTGGTTCTCTTAGTGGAAAGGCTAGTCCATGTGGCTCTTTCTGGGACGTGCAGTTAGCTTGCTTTAAGGAAAAGATGGTGATGTCATGATTCATGAGCTCTTTCTAGTCTGTGTACCATCTCACTCTTGGTCCTTGAAAGGCAATGTAAGCTTGGTGAATCTAATGAAAATAATATCTAACAATTATTGACCACACACTGAATGTCACCGGGCTAAGGGTTTTATATGGATTGTCTTGTTAAATGCTCATAGAATTTGTTGAAGTAGGTATTATTTTTAGGCCTGTTGTCATAATGAAGAAATAGGATGTAGACAGATTAAATAAAGCCCAAAGTAACACAGCCTGAGAGATAATTGGAATGCAAGCAGCCATTCTGCTTCCTATATATTATAACAGACATAGTGACAGATTGTAGGTGTGTCTGTATGGAGTGAATGCATTTGTCAACTGTGTAGAACATTCTAATGAACACTGGTAGAGGGAGGGAGGCAGCAAAATAAGCTAATATATTAGCACCTTATTCTGTCTCTGGAAGGTCTTTGCTACAAGATTTGCTGGCGGCTGAGTAACCACCAACTCTGAACTTGGGTGTAGGATATATTTGCTCCACACAAAATACACATTTTCCTACAGGATAGAAAAAAATGGTACTACAATGTAACCTTCAAGCTTTGCCTATAAAAAGCCAAACATCCAAGGGAAATGCAGAAAACAGGAAAAATTATGGTGGAATAGGAAGAGCAATACTCCAAATGCCAGGAAAGCTGAGTTCAGCTTTGGCCCTTGTCTGTAAAAAGGGGAGACCTGAAAGATCACATCTCAAGACTCTTCAGAATGTAATATTCTATGACCTAGTTATATTTAAAAGCCGAGTGCTTGGTAAATTCTAAACAGAATATTTGAGTGATTAAAGATATATTTAATCTGGAGGGTTTGACACCATGTAGAAGGAGTCAGGGGATAAGGAAGCACTATGTTCTCCCAGTTTTGCTACTGAAAAGGGAGTTTGATAAGTCATTTGGCCCTTGCATGCCCTAACTTCTTCCTTTGTACATCAGGATCAGTAAATCAACAGGCCCTGGGAGATGCCTCTAATAAAAATCACTCTAAAGCCCTTAGCTCAGTTCTCAGTACTAATCAGTTAGAGACTGGAGGAGCCTTCGTTTCCAAATTATTAAGAAAAAAAAAATTCCTTCTGATTCTTGTATCATTAATTTTATTATTTTTCTGTGTTTTTCTTTTCTTTCTTCCAGTTAGGCCCTCCCTGTAGAACAAAACCAATATTATTATTCCAACCCCTTAATGAACACTTTACGAGAGGAAATGTGCTGGCCTTACAGTAACCAAATCCACTTTAAAAAAATGTTCCCATTATTTTGTCCTGGCAAAACCCCGGATTCCTGGAAGCCGTGGTGATTAATGGCAGTAGCTAAGAGCCTAAGAGCTTTAGAAAATAAATGTCAAGGTGCCTGAACAGAGGAGAGATGCTGAGCTTTTCCACTGGCCAGACTCAACATACATTCACCAGCTGGACGTTCTCGGGGGGCGGGTTGGGGTGGTGAGGCCCGTTGGCTATGTTCACCATGTTGTTGCGTTCAGACCGCAGACTCTGCCGAAGCCGGTCATGAAGCTTTTTCCGTTGTTTCCTGGATATGAAAAGGGGAGCATTTATTTTTTTCTATCATTTACATTTCTTGGTACACTCAACTCTTGATTCTACCAACACATTAGTCAGGTAGGAGATTGGTGGAGGATATGCCACTCCGTCTCGGATTCTGCCTACAGACAGAAGTGGAACCACACAATCTTAGTGAATACACTTAAGGAGCTTGCGGCGGGGGGGATTCTTACGGAAATCTAACTGGACTGCTGAGAGATAAGAAAAAAAAAAGGAGAAGACAAGATCAATCAAGTTGATACTTGGCTCAAACCCCAACTTTCGCAGTCAATCCATCTTTGCCTGAGTCTTACAGATGGTCATTTGTCTTGGGTACCAATTTGCGCCATGCAATTGATAAGGCTGATTTCATTCATAATTTCGCCTGTGTGTCTCTTAAGAAGATGCAGTTAATTCTGAATCTGTACCTTCTACATGATGGGTGTGCAGGTATGGCATTGTATGTGAGTGCAGCTAGGTACATATTTTGCCCATAGATTTAGCACAATTAGAACATGATCTTATTCTTAGTAAAAATTTTTTTTAGAACTAGGAAATGGATATTGAAATACTGAGATTGAATCTAATAAGACTCATAAGGTAGATTTCAGTAAGGCTTGTCTCTATCACTTACTCAATTCTGGCAACCCATGAAATCCTGGGGTATTAAGAAAATGCCATCCATGCCCTTAATTTAATGTCTAAAAGCATATTGTCTTTGTTCCTCAATGCAACGTTCAGGTCATGATAATATCCCCATGACTGGTTTTGGCAAGAGAGTTTATGTGATGAAGCAAAAAATGAAACAAAACTGTTAACGTTACTTCCTACTTGAAGCAGAAGTTCTATGTAAGAGAGAAAAGTGAAGGGAAATCAGGTCACACAGTAACTTGTTTGTTAATATGGACCGAGCTTAACAGAACAGACATAGTGAACACAAATCTGCTTTAATGTTTTCTCTTCTTCTTTCCAAAGCAAGATTTGCTTGATTTTCCTCCCATGAGATTCTTTTTGTACATCCCACACTTTGAGAGCATTTGAGCTGGTAAGCTCATTAGACGGAATGGGAAAATAATCGCAATAATGTTTTAAAAAACTTCATTCCCAACATCACCAAGTGTCTCCTTTATCTCCTAAGTCTGAGTGCAAAGTGGGATGTGTCCTCAGCGGTGACATGACAGGTGCACCCTGGGTGCTAATCCCTGTCCTCTCAGGATCATCCACACGAACCTGCGTAGGCCCCACAAGCCCATCCGTCCAACCCTTTCCCAAGTCAGGGGCCACGGTCAATGACCAAAAGTCTTCTGAACATTTTCACACAAATAGGCAAAGCGTTCTAGTTATGTGATTAGAAAAAGTCTTCGAAATAGATTACTCAGAGAAAAAAATGAGAAGAAACACCCCCCACCTCCCCACTCCCCCTTTTCAAGCCTAGGCTGTGGAAAATGCTTTCTGCAAAGCCCTGGGCCAGCTGAGCTGTCTTCTCTGCGCTAAGGAACGAGAGGCATGGAGGAGGAAGGTTTACTTGGTTTTGCAGTAGGCCACCACACACATGATGCCGACCACAAGCAGGGCGATGCAGATGCCGGTGATGGTCAGCACTCTCTTCTGGTACAGCTCCTCCGCTTCTGGAAAGGGATGAGAGCAGACGTCACCAAAGCCCCCTTATACTCACCAGGACTTAACAACTGAACAGTTGGCATGCGGCATGGCATTGTCCATGTTCACGAGAAAGTAAATACATGACAATTCATTACTTTTGCAGACATACTTAAGGTACGGCATACTCTGCATTACACTTTGAGCATAAACAGCAAAGCCAGATGGGGCCATTTGCAATAAAAAAATTATACTATTAAATTGGTCTACTGATAAGCAACAGATATATATATATATATATAAAACTGGCAAATCATAAACATCAATTATAAAATAATAATTTTGTTAAAACTGTAGTTTTTAATGAAGAAAAGAAATCTCTTGTAAAGGCAACGGGAATCAATGCCAATAAAAGGAGCTGGAATTGGAACCACTGGGGCCGTCCTCGGCCTCCTCTTCCCCTCCTTCCCCCCTCCCCAACCCCTTTTTGTTTCCCAGATATTTTATATTCCAGTGGTCTTTACAAGGAGCCATTTCTAACTTAAAAAAATAAACTCAAAGACATTTGCAAACATGAGCTTGACTTGTAGTTAGCAACAAAACTGAGGCAGGATCCCTATGATTTAACAGTAAAATGTGAACATAAGCAACACAGTGGGGGTAGCAGGGCACTGTATCAGAGAAAATCCAATATGGTGGGTAGGAGAGTCTGGGGCCAAGATGAACCTTTGTCCTCTGAGGGACAATTACTATCATTTCACTGACTGTACTTAGAAACCGAATTGATATGTATAAAGAAACCACGAGCACACGGGATATGTGACTTGGACAAGATTGTCCATCCCTGTAGTGATCAGCTTGGCAAATTAGCGCAAGGAGGTCGCATAACGGAGGGTGATGCTTAGAACTTTGCGTCAATAGTACCACTGTACCTTAAATGCAGCCAGTCTCTTATTCAAGGAAGTCTTTCTACTTGCAAATCAGTTTTGGGGAGGGATCACTTGATTATACTTTGGTAGGTCAGGTTCTTCAAGAGATTGGCAGATTTAATGGCAAACCTGATCCCTTAGGAACTGAGCTTCCAACCAGTCTAATTACATTTATTGGAAGACATTCACAAGTTCACTGAAGAAGAGAACTCAGACCGGGTGCATCAGAAGCATTGTAAGCCGAACTTGCCAAATTGATTAATAAGCTGGTCAAAAACTGGGGAATATTACACAAATGAAGGTCTCTTATCTGGACATCAATATGGGGCCATAGGGAACATTTCCAATTTTCTTTACTGAGAGAGGGCAAGTCGCAGGAAGTTTTCTTGAAATGAAAAAGTGCATTTTAATTTCTGTGATACAGTAGACCTTATCATTAAACAAAACATTTCCTACAAGCCAAGCCCATGGTAATCAAATTCCAGTTAACAGGTCAGGAACATTGTCAAATCAAATTAATATAGCACTGATTATTAACAGGAGGAGAAGGAGAATAGAAGTCTGGGTAAAAGACTAGAAGGCCGCAGAAATTATACAAAAACAAACCCAAAGGGTCGGAAGTGGGAGGGAAAAAAACAAACCCAGAGGACAGACAGACTGACAGAATGACGGAGAGAGGGAGGAAGTCAGGTAGGAGGGAAAAACAAGATTAAAAGTGAAGGAGCCATCTGAAGTCCCTGGCACAGCATGCCTGATACTAAGGGAGGAAAAAATAAACAAACAAAAGAAAAGCAGAGGGAGGAAATGCTGGGTGGGAAGAGAGGGTGGATGCAAAGTTGGAAGGGTTATTCCATACAGCATAACTCCTACCCTAGGCTGGTGGTCACGTGGAAGCCACAATTAGGAAGCAAAGCAGCTGGTGCATTGCAGTAGAGTGGGGTCGGGTCACATGTTTTCGTGCCGCAAAAGTCAGCTGAGGATGTGGAATGTGAATGCTTCTATGTTAATTGCTGTGTCCGCTGCCTCCCCTCCCCCAGAGCCCCAGGACGGGGAATTGCATTTGACGAGGTGGTAATCTGTGAGCGGGTGCTACAGGAGCCTCCTCCTGGACTTGGCATGCGGATCAGTTTTTAGCAAAATGTCTAAGAAGGAGAGGCGGCGCCCCACTGGTCCCTCCCCGTGGGGCCCGGGACGCAGGGCTCCTCCGGGTGTGACTGGTTGGTTTAGAAAGAGCCGCTACAAGTATCACTGCCACGAGAAATGGAACCCCTCTTGTCTTCTTTGGAAAGGGGGAGGGCTTGGTAGTGCTGGAATCTTAACACGCTGTCTTTAGAAAGAGCTGGGAAGTTACTTCTGACAACTACGAAAATGGGTTGCATCTAAGGACGGAGGGGGGAAAGGGCGTCCCGAGTCCTCCCGGGGATTCCATGGACAAGTTTTTTTGGTGGTTGCTAAGCATAAAAGAATAGATTGACCTCAGGTTGTCAGCAAATGTGGCACGCTGACTCACTGTTCTGCCTATATTACGGGGGAACACACATATTTTTCCAGTGAAATTGGTCATGGAAATAAAAAGGCAAGCTCAGTAGAGGCCAAAGGGTAAAGCAAACGTGCTAAAATGAACCAATGAGAGACAAGGCCCATAGAATACAGACGGAGGATTAAGATTCTGTATTCACAACGGCATTCACCAAATACATTAAATGTTTCTCATCTTAGTTTCTATTTCCTTTCCTAGATCAGGGGACCTCCCCTCCCCCACATCATGAATGTGTTAAAAGAGAAGCACTTGATGAACAATCATATAAACAATGGGTTTTCACCCCCTGTTCCCCTCATTTTTTTTTCCCCCTAGTGTGAGAGGGTCAATAGGGCAAGAGCAAATTAGAGGCAGTGCTGGGAAAAAAAAAAAAAAAAAAAAAGAATCTGTCAGTCCAGTTGGCGGATCTGCCTTAATGAATGGAAATCTTCCGAGTCCTTACTCTATGGTTTGGTGGGACGCATTGAAGTCAATCAGATCAAACATGTTTTCCAGTCTGATCTGGTCAGGCTGAGAGACAGAAGCCTTGTCTTTCTCAATGTTAATTGACCTTTAAGATCTGATTTTCCTTAAAGACGAGCGTTCTGGCTCAGTACACCGGCTGTCCTGGGACTGTGGAGTCTCTGGACCGTTTGCCTTTAAGGGGTACGCAGATACCAGCATGATGTATCTTTACTGACCCTTCAGATCGTACTGAGGGAGAAGACCTATATCTGAACTATACATTGCCCTACCTCATTGTCTGGGAAGAGAAATATTAAATTCTAGTTAGACCCTAAAGTGATAAAATGGGACAAAGATGTATTAAGGAAAAGGAGGAGGTGATGGTAGATTTTTTTCCTCCCTGCAGAGAAAGGCTGGTAAGCCTTTTCAGTAGTGGGACAATTTTTATTCTGAGGGAGGTAACCTAAATAGATCCCTCTCCTCATGTAAATAACCCACCACCTGAGTGGCGCTCGTGGGAACTCTCGTGCTTCTCACTCTTGGGAGATGTTCTCTGATGTGCACAGGGTCACTCACACGTAAGTGGGGGTTTCCTCATCAAATGAATAGCTTCTCTTCAAAGTTTTTTGAGGGGGAGATGGGCAATCGATTGAGTTTCTATCCCTGTCACGGACAGAACTTGCAACAGCCTTATTTTCCACGAATTATGGAAAGTAGATTAGGTAGGGACTGTGATGTTACCATCCAAAAGAGAGTAGCAGCTATGCTACAGGGCGCCCTCACTGCATGATGTCACCGACACCAGCTGGATGGAGATCAGCTATTCTGTTAATCAGCTGGATGGAGATCAGCTATTCTGTTAATCAGGACTTTGCTTTGTTGACCCACAGCCGCGTTCCAGCACTGCAGGCGGTGCTCAGGGAGCCCGGGCACCTGCATTGTGGAGCCTCTGGGATGACCGAATGGCTTCCCTCTCCTCCCAAAACTGGCCCTGGCTCCCAATGATTTAGGACAAAGGCCTTCAAAGGGAGTATGCCCCAAATTCATATGCTCATAAGAGATATTATCCTATGTTTACAGTGTGAACATTTCTATTTGATTACTTATCTGGATGATCTAAGTGACTCAAGGTTAATTCCATTAGTGCTAGAATTTCCACCTAAAATAGCACTGGGCGTATTTCTTTCTGTTTTCTATTTCCTTGCTCCAAAGATAATGAAGTTGACTAGAGGAGCGCTTGAATATCCCCAGAAAAATCACAGTCGGCACATACAATATTGTGTGGCATTGTAAGGCCTTTCCATGTTACTATATCAAGTAGGTGATTTTTTACATTGTATGTCACATTCTCATCAGCCTAAGATGTGGGGTGTTTTTAAGCTGATGCACTTAGAGCTTCTTTTGTTCTCTCAGGCCTGGCTTGGTTCCTCCCAGAGCCTTATGCACCTCTCCAACTTACCCCGCTCTGAAATAACAGCATGGTCAGATCCAGTCAGAGGATTAAGGAACGTGGGATGTATGTGACTTTGCAGCAGGCTGAGGTGATTTTTAAACTCTAAGTGAAGTATGGAAATCTAGAAACTGCTGCACTCAGGGACATTTCAGTAAACGAATCATAGATTGGAAGCAGAGAAACCATTGTTATAGCTGTATGATCCCTTCTGAAGGAAAAGGAAATTAGTTAGGAACTGGAAGGTAAGAGTAGGAAGGGAAAAGATTTCAGCTCATAGGTTCTAAATTCTGCAGGCTAAAAGGAATGATGATTGGTCCATACCCATAAATTCAATCCCAAGATGCTCTGCCAATGCAGAAAGTTGACAAAAAAAAGAAAGAAAGGGAAAAAAGTTTCAGAAAAGAGCAATACACTGCACTCCAAAACACATTACACATGACTATTAACAGCTCTCCGTGCGTGCACATTGAACAGGACAAATGGCGGGTGGTTAAGGAAGCAGTGCTCAGGTATGCCTCCGCTAGTCCCACAGGGAACTTCTCTTTTTTAAGAGGTGTGCAAATAACCAGCACACCCTGTCTTTATTAACCCTTAAAAGACCTTACTGAGGGAGAAGTTGTACTGCTGAACTATACTCTATGCTACTTCATCATCTAGGAACAG